GTCCTGGCAGCAGTGAGGCAGACATGAGCGACTCTGACTCTGTCTTGGTAACAGTGAGGCAGACTTGAGCGGCTCTGACTCTGTCCTGGTAGCAGTGAGGCAGACATGAGCGACTCTGACTCTGTCTTGGTAACAGTGAGGCAGACTTGAGCGGCTCTGACTCTGTCCTGGTAGCAGTGAGGCAGACGTGAGCAGCTCTGACTCTGTCCTGGCAGCAGTGAGGCAGACATGAGCGACTCTGACTCTGTCTTGGTAACAGTGAGGCAGACTTGAGCGGCTCTGACTCTGTCCTGGTAGCAGTGAGGCAGACATGAGCCGCTCTGACTCTGTCCTGGCAGCAGTGAGGCAGACATGAGCGACTCTGACTCTGTCTTGGTAACAGTGAGGCAGACTTGAGCAGCTCTGACACTGTCCTGGCAGCAATAAGGCAGACATGAGCCGCTCTGACTCTGTCCTGGCAGCAGTGAGGCAGACGTGAGCAGCTCTGACTCTGGCAGCAATGGGGTTAACATGGGGCATGTCTGTTATGACTCCAGGAGCATCACTGAGTGGTGCACGATCTGGGCGAATGCAGTCCGCCACCGTCCACTGCAGTTAACAAAACCTTCAGGCGAGGGCTGCGAGTGGAGCCTTGCAAAAACTCATGCAGGCCTCTCTTTGCATTTTAATAAGCAGCTGCTTCTCTGTGCAGAAACATGCTATAGTCGGCATCGAAAATGTACATTTTGTCCCAAATGTTGTAAATCATATTCATTTGGTCACATAGGTACTGAGCCATTCATTTGTAGCTTTGGAATGAGCAGTTACCAAATCTGACAGGGCTTTAGCCATTGTTCCAGGATAAAGTGAAAATTCCTACTGTCTGCAGTGACTTGTTTATGCTGAAAAGAGCGGGCAATGTTCTGTAGTGTTTCTGTCTATGTAATTAGCAGGTTTGGATGCCTGGTTAGGCCAGCCCCTGCCCCCCCCCCCTCGTGCTGCCAGGCCCCTTTCCTGGATCTCCTGCCCTCCGCTCGTCCTGCCGTCCGACTCCCCTGTCCACCCCATGAGAGGCAGTCTCACCTCGAACACATTGCCTTGGCACGTTCAGCCCTGCAAGCCAGAAAAGATGGTCTCTGTCAGTGAGCGGGGGCGGGGGCGGGGGGGGCGGGGGGGGGGGGGGTTCCTGGCACAGAGACCCTGACAGAAGAAAGATCCTTGCTTCAGCAAAACACCAGTATAACTGTTTCTGACGGGTATTGCTGGGAGACATGCTGTGATGCGGATGTGGGCTGGGGGCTGTGACCCTGGACCTGGCCAGCTGATCTCCCCCCCCCCCGCTTTGTTCGGCTGCTGCTCAGCTTGGAATGCAGCTTGACCACTATGAGCGTAACTTGTGAGCAGCGGGGGGGGCTCTAGGTTACATTTTCAAGCTACGTTTTCTGTTCATTCTCTCCTTCTGGCAGTCACACTTACTCTGTTGTATTTGTGTCATTTCTATGTGTCAATTATGGCGCATTTTGCATAAACATCTGAGTGATTTATAGAGTGACATTAAACGACTGTAATATTTAACTCAGCGCTGCGTACTTTTTGTGCCTTATTCTGCCAATTACAGCTCAAATGTTTTAAGCAATTTATAGATTATTCTAAAAAATAAACTGTCACCAGAAGCTAAGCTCTCTCATGAAGGATCAGGCAACTGACAAGTGTTGGTTTCTGGTGAGACAAACCACAGTTAAAGGGTAGGATGGCAGCGGTTTGAAGTTGAGACAAAAAGAGATGAAAATCCATGAACGGCTTTGCCTTCATCATTTTCTGCCTTGATCTCGCTGCCGTGTAGCAGGAATCTCTCGTGTCATCGGATCTGAGAATGTAAAGCATCGTGTCACGCATCCCATTGGCTCCTACACCTCCTCTCCCCTGTGAACCTGCGCAGTTCATTGGGCACATGTTTGTTAATTAATTATTCTGAATCCCTTGACTTTTTTAGGTGTATGAGGCTTGGAATTAGTTTCGCTGTCAATCAGGCTGTCATCACATATTTATCTAGAATGTGTTGGCCTCAAAGTCTAGAACAACTGGCTAACTTCTGAAATATAACCTGTCAAAGTTGTTTTTTTGTCGTTGTTTTTTCCGTTGTCACTTGTCTTATAACTAGCCTGATGTTCATCGTTAACTAAGACATTTCAGTATCACTTAGCTGAAAGACCATAAACCGTTTCTCCGCACAATCCCTGATAAATAAGCCCTTTTTTTTCATTAGCTGCTACATTTCCTGGAATTTCCATGCACGTTCCTTGTGTGAGGCCATCACAGCAGGGGAACAGAGCTTGAACATCAGGGCCAAGTCCTCTGCTTTTTCTGAAGTATGTTTACCAGACAGGAACCATGTCTCTGTAGGATTGCATCAGGTCCTCTGTCTCTCTCAGGCATAATGTATGGGCCACATGAAAACAAAGGAAGGCAGTGGGGGTGTCATGGCACTATACACGGCAGAAGCAGCTTAGATCTCCTCATGAACCAGGATTAGGGATCAGTTTGAAACCTGAAATCAGTGGATGTGTGTCTGCTCGCTCCGGTAGAGTAATCAGCATCTAAGGTAGACCCAGCCAGGTTTTTGGGATCTAGAGTGTCTTCTTCAAGGTGGGCAGTAGGAGGATAGAGAGTCTTGTTTGGAACGTGTTTGTTCATGCTGTCAGCAGAACTCGCATTCAGCATGGTAGCAGCTCTTCCGTACGCCTTGGCTGAAGGTGCCATGAAGCGGATCACTATCTATCTGCCAGCTAAGGATTCTTCCTTACCTTCCGTTGCCTTGTTGAGTGGGTGGCCAGAATCACTCCCATAAAGAAGTGCAGGAAGAATGTATTTACACATAAGTATGCCTACACCCTCTTGTTAATTTAAATGGACAAGGAAATGAGTTTGCGTCACAGGACCAGAGTGAAGTTTGGTGCTTGGCCCGTAGGATGAGAAGTGTGCTGTTGGCTAAATGAATCACATGATGTGGGCATGTGAGCGTTCATGCTGAGTAGACCAGCATTTGGGGACACCCTTTGCGTTGTGTTGCGGTATGCAGAGGGAAGAGTAAGTCTGGGGCTTTTTGACATCAATGAGCATCGAGCATGTCATTGAGAAGGCTGAAGATCCTTCCGGAAGGAAGTCGTTTATACAGTCACTAGTAGTCTTCATTGCACCTGAGAATTGTACTGTAATAATAATGATTATAATGATTATGATAATCTTTGACACCATCTCCTCATCGCCTTCTTCATTCTGATTGGCCTTTTCTTTTCTCCTTGGTCCTCCTCTCTACAGCCTGCTGTGTTTTTGCCACTATATGCTACTTCACTGTCTTTCCTTCATGCTGAAGTCCTGCTGCCTTCAGGATTATGGCTGACAGCAGGTGTTTCTCTGCCCCCCCCCCCCCCCCCCCCCAATAGAGCGCAGCCGCCGCCCCCAGCCCGGTGCTCGGGAACATCCCCCCGGGAGACGGCATGCCGGTGGGACCCGTTCCTCCAGGATTCTTCCAGGTACGGGACACCGCGGCCCCAAAAGTCCACACACGCACGCCGGCTCGCATATCTATGGGGCAGTGAGCAGTTCAGCTACACTGAAAGGTTGTTGGTTCAAGTCCCAGGGTGATCTTTGAGCAAGGTGCTTAACCTGATTTCCTTCTGTAAAATGTCTAGCTTTCGAATTGGATCCAGCATGATATTGACTGTGTATTCTGATGAGTACAAATAATTCATAGTAATAAAGAAATAATAATACAGGGAGCTGCACATGAAAAGCAATCCTTGTGTACATACTGTGGTTTGGAAAACAATGCATGCTGACGTGGACGTATTGCGGCTATCAGCATTACTGATATCATGCTTGAGACATTGTTATCATTACAGCATTCGCTGTTGCTACAGGTGCTGAGAGTTAAAGTGGGAGGCGCCTGTTTTGAGGGGCACTAATCCAGTCTGGGGATGGTAATTGATTGTTCAGGGCTGGGAGGAGTGTCGGCACCTTTCTTAGGTCATGTAATTGTATCTGAGCCTAATATGGGTGGTTCTTCCTGTTGATTGACTTGCCAGTAGGTTCAGTCAGGATTTGGTTACATCTTTACCCTTACGAGGATTAGTGAAATGTTTTTTTCTTCTCTTTTTTTGCAGTCCTTTGAACTTTCTAAGTGGGATTTTAGGCCTTCATATTTATGCAAGCAATGATTTATTTTAATCCCGGGGGTGTTATGAAAGTGGAGCATATTTTATGGAACCATTACACTGATGTTTAGGTCTGGGTGTTCAGGTGAATCTCCGTTTCCCTGGCTGTAGATTCCTGCCTTTCGTGCAGAGTGACGTAGCCAGTGTGGATGAAGTGAAGGGAATATTAAGGATCCACAGAGCAGCATTTTGTAGAGATGAAATATTAACAGGAAGCACTCTGTTTCTGCAGTGGCATTACAGCTGCACTGCATTTCCGGCGATCGCTGCTTAATGGCCATGAAATATGAATGATGTCTGAGACCCGCAGCAGTCACACTTTCCTCTGTGAGGTCAAAGCTCTTTCTTGGCCCATGGTGGAGGCAGCATCATATATCATCATCTTGTACAATAGACACCAAAGAACTGAGAATAGTTGTCATCCATCCATCCATCCAGCCATCCGTTTACCGTAAACACTTATTCAATGCTGTGCCGTGGTGAGACTGATCATACATATATGTTTTTCTGGTCCAAAAGCATTCATTTAAGACAGCACTCCATCCAGCCCTTAGTCTATGACTGTGTGTGAGATTGTCCTTCAGTGGACTCACTTTCTAAGACGTTCTTTACACCTTAGAATTCCTGGGTCCTGGATCACCAAGTGCCCTAGTGAAACAGGATAGACATAGTAGAACATTTCTTTAAAAAGGCTGTTAAGTGTATCATTTTAGATGCCCTGTCTGCTGACTTGATCCAGATTTAACATGAAGCGCCCATTAGACTGAGGAGACTGTCGATGCTGCTTCCTGACCGCCCGCCTGTGCTACAGCACAGCACACAGCATGGGATCAATGGCTCAAGCCAGTAGGAGAAGCTAGTGAGTAGATCGGCGGGTAGCGGTCATCCCCGGGCCTTGCCGGGGGAACAAAGCCCAGCCTGTCCTGATCCAGGAACTACGAGCACCGTGTGTCCGTCTCATTTGAATAACACAACAGGAGAGTGCAGCTTTGGGGATGGATCAGGAGGAAATAAAAGGGAGAAGCAGCAGCCCGCCTGCCAGACAGCAGCGCGCAGCACTGCATGGGCTCCCAGCATGCACTCTGCTCTCACAGCCCTGTCACGGAGACATCACCGATCACATCGCTGCATGCTGGAATTCACTGGCTTAAAGGCAGTATGATGTGTCCGCAGGCCAGCCCTATGTCACCGGCTTTGTTCTGCAGTGCGGAAAGCTACTGGAGGTGTCTTAAAGTGCTCGTCTGCAGAGCAAATCACTGAAGTAGGAAGGTGGCAGGATTCCTCTGTTTCTGTATGTGATTGTGGATGTGAGGTGCAGGATGTCACGCATGTGGGCGGTCCATGTTAAGTGTCATACAAGGGGCCGGCAGGGTTCCGTCTGTCCGAAGATCCCTCTGCACACCCCTGAGCTGAGGGCTCGTATCTGTCCTTGGTTCCACACAAGGTGACGGGCAAGGCGATGCGGCACAGGACCCAGGTGAAATAAACCAAAGCATGCAGGCTAGAAATGATTGGCCAACAAGATCAAGTGGCTGATCCGCCAGCCAGTGTCCAGCCTATGGAGGTCTCTGCTGATTTACCCTCCTCACAGAAATGTGAGGTGTGTGTGTGTGTGTGTGTGGTCCAAGTATACCTTACCTTGTGGGGACCAAATGTCCCCACAATGTGATGAATATCCGTTTTTTTTTTTTTAACCTTATGGGGACCAGTTTCCTATCCCCATAAGGTAAATTTTTCATACCAAAATCACCTGGGACAGACTTGCTACCCCCCCCCCCCCACCTGCCATATACCCATAATTCCCTGCAGCAGCTGGGTGCCCCTTACCTCCTCATTCCTTGCTCCTCTGTTAGCCTGGCGTAACAGCCGCAGAGATGTAATGGAGTCTCGTGTCTCTAGGGTGGACACAAGACCTTGAATTTCAAGAGGTTATGTGTGGAATAGTTTGCTATTTTTTCTGTCTCGTGCTTTGGTAACAAGCTGCTCACTTTCTAATGTGTGTCTCGTGTGAGACCGAGGCTGGCTCATGCATGCGCTGTCGTTTGGAGAATCGGGGAATTAGCAGCTGCAGCTAACCAGGTCACCTGTCCGTCCCTGAGAGTCATGTCAGGTGCTTCTCGTTGCCGCTTTCTTTTTGCAAAGAGGTTTGCGTTGAGTTTCTAAGCTTCAGGATGACGGTAAGTGATGTTATGTTTCTCCCACATGTCTTCAATTATATGAATGCAATGACCTTGGAGAAGAGAACAAAGAATGTAAACCTCCCAGGGCAATATGGACCCCTGACCATTAGCATCTCGATTTCCCTTGACAGAGGAATAAGAAGAGGGGCCTGAGTGGGGCTGAGGTCCTGTAACTGCCTAGTGTTCCTCCCCTTTTGAGCTCTCGGTGTACCCTGTCCGGTCGGCAGCCCGTGCCCGGCGTTCCTCATCTGTCTACCGGCACACGGCTGGCTGCCTCGCGTGGGGCCCCGTCACGCTTCACTGCCTCCGAGGAGACCTTCATCTGCAGGACTTCGGGTGCCTTCTTTAGTCGTTACTGTCCAGGTCCAACGTTCGGCTCACTCAAGGCGGAGCTAATCGGGGATAACCAGGATGTCCACTGCTCCTCTAAGACTCTGACGAAAAACTGACTTTCTTTGGGCAACGGGCGAGTTTTTTAACGTTTCGTAAACCAAATGGTAACTGATAACAACTGGGAGCCCCTTTCCGCTAACGCACAATCACATAACTAAGGACTGGCCCGAGGGGGGGGGGGGGTTACCCATGCATATTTTTTGCGTTGCGTCGATTTATACTGACATTTTATCGACGTACAGTTTCTGCAGACCCCCTGGGGGGGTCACAGACCACAGGCTTGGCTAAGGGATCGTCTCTGAACAAAGTTAGCAAAATAAGTGTAACAGTGCCCTCTATTGGTGTGGTTTGCACTGAGGTCCTTGGGAGCTGATGTTGATTAAAATAAGACTCCGGTTACCTTTCTGTGCATTAACTGCTTCGTATGCTTTAGCCAGACTTCGACCGTTTGTTTGTCTTGACCTGGTTTTAAGATAGAATCCTCATCGGACGCTAGGAAGCACAATTTAGTTGGTATTCCTTCATAATACAGTTATGTCTTCATATTCTGTACTGCTGTAGGCATTATCATGAAAAACAGCAGGGTAATCAACAAAATAAACTTCTTATTCAGGATCACAGGATATACTGAACTGGCTAACATCTTGATGCGTACGGACAGGTTTTTGCATGACCTGTAAATGCCGAATCTCCAGCCTCACTGAGGCTCTCTCTCTTAGTGTTAAAGTGAATGGATTTGCACGTACTGCTGTGACTGTGTTTCGCTGATTGTATGATATCAGACAAATCAATTTCCTGTATCCATCTCACACGGCGCCATTTTTTAAAATCTCCAGTGTATATTTTATGATGTCCATTTCTAGGTTCAGGGTTTCCATTGCCTTGTTGTGACATTAAATCCAAGATTTTGAAATTCATTGATTGAGTTTGTAATTGAAGCAATTCCTAATTGTTTCTCTCTCTCTTTCTGTCTCATCTTGTCAATTATTTTTTTCTAGTTTCACAGGCTTATAAGACTAACACCATGCATGTACTTAGGCTAAGCAATTTGCATATTTTTGGTCAAAAACAAATTTTAATTCATATCCAGATTACCATATTAATAGACTATCATTGTTGATCAGTTGTACTTTGGGCTTTCTGTTTAATTGGTCGTTGTAAGTCATCAGTCCTACGGGCGAGGAGAAGGAACTGGTCTGAGCCTGAAATTCAGGCTTGGCATAGAAAATTTTTTGTTGGACTTCGGCACAATGACAATAAAATCTATCTATCTGTCTATCTATCTATCTATCTATCTATCTAGCTAGCTAGCTAGCTAGCTAGCTATCTATCTATCTATCTATCTGTCTATCTAGCTAGCTATCTAGCTAGCTATCTATCTATCTATCTAGCTATCTATCTATCTATCTGTCTGTCTGTCTGTCTGTCTGTCTGTCTGTCT